TGCAAGATTATGACCAATTTTGCATAATCCATCCAAGACAAGATAATATTTATACTGTAATACATTACGTCATCTGCCATATATCACAACGCGTGTACCAATACGTGCAAATTTTTGCATGCCAATGTGTTTAGTGAAACAGACCTGTGAAGAGCAATGTTTTCAGCATCATTAACGACTGAACTGACTAAAGCGTTGCCTTCGGATATCGTAAATGTATGAAGCAGGCTTGCATCGGTAGCAACGGTGGCTATCTTATTATACTCACTACTTAGGAGGAGTGTCAGAGGGGGTAACGATGTCCTATACTGTAAGGACACAGAGTTTGGGACATTCATCCAGCAAGCGGTGAGGTAACAGAAATCCACGGATTGATCAATAGCATTTTTGCAAATACGCATAGTTTTACTGAAGGGCATAAGATAAAAGGCAGCATTGACTACGAGGCGCTTGAAACAAGTGATGAAGAAGAAAAACATATGCTTGAAATAGCACCGGAAAATGTAAAAAATACAGCAAATTATATAAAATAGGGAGACGCTCATGGAAGAGATAATATGACAGTTGACATATAACATTGCTTAATGGGTCTATGAAACTGTTTCCTGTTAATATTCACACTCGGCAAAATATGTTGTTAATCTTCGAATACAATCGATTTTTAATATTTTCATCTGTGCCATTCGTAATGGTCCTTCTGGTAATAGAGTTTACGGTGAGGGATTGACCTCAGTCCGGATACCACAAGCCGAGGGTGCCATTTTGAGGCAATGGCTATAGCTTTTTGATCGCTGCTTTGCACTAGCGGTAAATTTTAATATTGCGGTATTTTTTCTCTACCTCAGAACGTAGAAAGATGTGGCTGACTCACTTGCTACAAGTATACACAATATTTACAGTATAAGGAAAATTGCTTCATTTCGATTGTGAGTCTGAAGCCCTGTTGACTGAGCTACCCTTGCCGCTAGTGAATGTTTATGTGTGCGGAGGGAGAGGAGGGAAGCACATTGGTTCCCAGGGACAGAATTTGAAAAACAGCCATTTTGCTGTGCTGTCTACCCTGATTAGGACGTGCTTGGGACACTGACAAAAAGCATCCGATGGAGCGATCCTTAAATTACTCAGATGAAATATTAACTCAGGCCTTACTGCCGCTGATCACAGTACTCTCTGCACTACTCTGGCCAACACTGTCGACAGTAGTGTCTATAAAAAAATGTCATAGGAACAAAGCTACATAACTCAATCGAAGAGGAAATCATTTCCTAATCCAAAAATATCTCACAGCACCAAAATAACGTTTTCTCTTTGACGTGTTATCTTGTGCTTGCGACATGGTTCTTGGGCTATTCGGTAATTAAGTAATGAATGGGATCCTACAACAACGATTGCGACAAATGACGCAAATGAGTGAGGATGCAAATCTAACAACGGTAAAGTTAAAGCACCATAAACACGAAAGTACCGTCCATCAGAACGAAGAACGCATACGTTGACAAAACCGTCTCTGTAAACACCCGTTTCGACTCTGGAATATTTTAAAAATTAGACGATGTTCGCTTCTATCAGCGATACACATTAAATGATCAAGGTTAGCATCATGGCATATATTCTTATATGGAAATATCGATGTCAATCAGTTTTCACAAAATTACCAATTCCAAACATATTTTAATTTAACGGGGATCACAAGCACCGCCGAACAAATGCCAGTTTATTTAGTTAGAAGATTTTCAGACTTTTGTAGCAGCTAGGCAACAATGATGGCTACCCTCGACTGTACTCTTACTGTACTGAGGGGCAGTCGTTCAGTCAGACAGAGATGCTCGTGATTACAAGCGAAGGCAAGGAAATGCGATAAAGGAGTCCCTTAACATTTTGCCGTTAAGACATCCTATTCCTCCTCCATTGCCACTAAAGAAAGTTGAGGCATTATCACGAACTTGATAACAAAGTTTGGAATGATGTAATGAGTGGCTCGGATAAAAGCGTTTAGTTTAAAGTTACGAATATCATGCCCATCATCAGTCACTTTTGATTCACTGCCCGATGAAAGTCTCACAAAGGCCACTTACTCTCCCTTGGAACCCAGGAGTCTTTTCGTTCCAGCGACGGTCGGCTGTTCTTCCAGCGTCTCCTGCCAAGTGCCACTTTCGATTCTTCATTTGTCCAATGATGTGTCAAATTTGTGATTGTACTCATACACATTCGTACGATTTCCTATATTTCCTTGTTATTGGTATATTTCTTTCCTGGCTGCGTTGCGCAATTTGTAGTTTATGAATAGGTTCAAAGCTTCTTATGAAGTTTAGCATCTTCTAGTTAACATCAGAAGCATAACTGATCGAAAACCTCCCGTTTCAGGAACTAAAGCACCCACCTGGTGGATAGGTGCATTTTAGGATTTCGAAGAGTCGGGTCTCCGTTTCAGAGATCATCTGTCCGAAATAGATGTCCCAGAATCAGAGACTTCAAGTCACATTTGAACTCACTTCAGTTCTGACTCAATGCACACAGAAGTGTAGATATTTGTTGCTGAAATAAAAGACTGTTTTATAGCGTTCTGCTGAACTAGCAGTGGCCACCATTGAAGGTAGGTAGTAAAAATTGCAGGGAACAGCGCCAGTTTCTGAGAAACAACAAATAAAGAAGTCCAGTCCATCACCAGTAAACCGGTTTCACATCAGCCACAGTAGTATGATTCTACATTAAGCGCAAAACAGCAGGACATTGCAGATATGCAACAGAAGTAAATTTATGGACTCGACAAAATGCGAGTGTCAAGCGGATAGCTGAACCATTGGCTGTTTAGCACCAAATGTTCATTCTAGAAGCTAAACGTGGTTTAAACTTTCTTAATCATGCATATAAAAAAACGGTCCGGCTAAAAACTATGGACCGAATCGAAAACCCGTTCAGGATAATTTTAAACGGTGGTGCAGTACGCTATATAAAACATTAGAAGCGTTCTCTGAGCGGCTTTCTGACTCATAATTCGAATTTTAGTGGTGCACGTTATATGTGATACGTCTCAATCGTTCTACCGTCTTAAACGCTGTCCATATAAAGAGGGGGCAAACGAACAGTATGAGTTCGCATTGGGTGAAGTACAATTTTGCGTGTACTCCCCGACCACTATGACAGCTGCAAAGACCTGTGATGAATGCCACAGTCGAATCGCTGGCTAGCAAGACACCGGCAATTGTGGCCTTTTGCCAATAAACGTAGTTCTGTTTAGTTTGGTAGGAGATTTGGTTATAACCTGGCGGAGAAAATGGGTCAAAGGACATTAGAGGAAAGTTTGTAACGGTTGTGATATCAGCCTTCCAAAAAATTCTCCGCTTTTAGTACTCTTTTTTTCATGGAAATAAAAACTTGCTACTCATTTGTTGCCATCGGCCAGAAATATCTTATTTCCTTACAGAATAAAAGTATACAGCTTGGGGGGGGGGAGGCGCTGCAGTGTGTGGTACGGTATCTGTGCCGCCATAGTTCTTCTTGGTTGTCCACCTCAAAAAATAAAAGATGATCCCATCAGGATTTAAAATGGCAATCGTTCGACTGTGTGTGTAAGGATGGAGCTACCTCCACCTTGGATTCGTATTTTGCGGGAGGCGGTAATTATTCGTACTGAAGGCATTTGATGAGAAGTTATTTCCGCTGTGCCGTCCATCGTCTGAAAACATTCTAACGTTCGGGTAAGATTGACAGAACATCTGATGGAATGGTGTCAGATGGTTTAAATAATAAAATTGAAAACATTAGACCATTCGCCACTTGAAATGGTTCCAATTATACAATGAGTGATCATTCCTCAAAAGGCAGGGTAACGCTAGTTATTCCAGATGCCACAGCAGCTATTGACCACATAAGCATTTGCAGAAGTTAAGCGTGAAGAAGACTCGCACGAGAACAGCCAAAACGTTTGTACTGGTGAATCACCTGATTTACCAACTTATTTGTTTGCGTCGTGTATAAATAAACCGTTTTTATGCGTTTTTCAGCTTTTAACATTTATTATTGCAGTTATAAATATGGCATAAAATATTTGATAATTAGCCGTTTCTTTCCATTCGTAGATGCGGCAGCGCATCCAATGCACCCGAGGTACTTAAATGTCACGAAACAATGAACTGGGGGGGGGTCTTCAACGCATTTACGTGCAAGAGAGCTGTGCCATGGTGTCCATAATGAATTGTGTGACTCGTATAACCGTTCTCTGAGGCAGCACTGGCATAAACCAAAATAATAAAGCTAAAGAAACTCAAATCGCTGCAGCAATGCATTTTCACTCAGCCGTCTCACACACAGCCGTCATGACCATTGGCTGGGTCATTTTCGATACTAAGGTCACAAATTTCGGTCCAGGGTTACTAGAAACAGTTCCACTTGCATCGGTAAGAGGGAAGTGTCCAAGCGTCAACGCTAATGTAACAAAACCATTTCATAGGCAAAAAATATAAACGAAATGAGCATGAGCATTTTGTACCTTTCTTGTCGTCCAGAGCGTCTAACTGCAGTATGTTGTCGATGCCGAACTTCAGCCGCTGCGTGGAGCCGTCTCGACGAGTTCGGAACTGGCTCGATGATCCCGTCGGATAATCGGCCACCAGCTTACCATGGAAACCACTGCATGAGCGTTTGTACTGCATCATCAGGTCGGCATAGTAGCCGCTCCATTGCAGAGGTGACGGCGAAGGCGAGTAATCACGTGGAAAGATGGCGTAGCTCATCAAATGCGGTATGTGCTAAAACGGGCGAATGAGCATAAACGGCTGATGGACGCTTGAACCGACGAACGGTAGGCGCAGCGCGTACAGTTGCACATGAGGTCGGTCGTTCTTACAGTAGTAACGTAATTACTGAGGCGACGAGCAGAGTTAATTAAGTTAAAAATTCAAAAACTGCCACTTATTTTAAACAAAATTAACCACTTGTTCAATGACAAAAGATGACGGCTGTATCATGACATTGTAACCCTCAGGAACAGATATTAAATGCCAACTGAATAGGAAGGTTAAACTTTGAGCTTAGTCTTATTTACCAATACGTGGAACGATCGATATTGAGTGGTGCCTTTGTCCGCAACATGGGGTCATCAACTGAGGGTCGAGAGAAAAGGAGAAACGAACAAGTGAAATATCAAACTTTCGCAATCAGCTGGATGCACACTAACCATACCTCAACAGTTTTTCTGCAAAACACATCATGATTCGACGGTTTTGACTCCAGGCTCTTTTCCTGACCCGTTGCTGAAGACTTCAAATAATGCTCAGCAAAGAGTCAATATACTTTTTGCTATTGACGCATTTTGCCACTACAACTAGAGCAGGATTGATATGGCCTGTAACAATCCGCCTTCCTTGCCTAAACTTCAAATGTTCATCATTATGGCTCATATATAATAATGAACATCATTTGTATTCCTTATCGATTGTCTTCAGACACATATACCAGCTGCTAGCACATAATCACTTTCTAGCCGTGCTTTCTTATATCCCCCACGCCCC